AGGAGACATAAATAAAGCAAAGCAACCAAACTCTCTTCCAGCCATTTTCATTATTTATTTGAACCTGACCGCTAGACAGCCTCCGTTCTGTGAAACCTTAGAGGAGGGAGGAGGCTCTGTATATCGCTCTGCAAACTGAGAGTGTAAAAGCAGAAGTGTTATTACAGCTCTTTCTAACCGCGCAAGCTGGGACGATGGATTTTGGGTGGAGGCGGTGAAACTGCAGTAAAAGTGCAACCACGGGTTATGAAATCAAGTACAAGATGCTTAAAATGAACCTCTCAGTAACTTCACAAGTCTCATGAATTAATTCTAGCCATATCACAATATACAGCAACTGTAGCATTTTGTAGAAAAGATCCATGTTTGAAGAGCCACCATTAAGCGCCAATCATTGGCTTTGCCTAGGCTGAGATGATGTAGTCAGTCTGCTGAAGGCAGGAGGAAGCATTTCCTCAGTCTCCCCTCCCCCAGTGATCAGTCTGCTGAAGGCAGGAGGAAGCATTTCCACAATCTCCTCTCCCCCAGTGCTCAGTATGCTGCAGGCAGGAGGAAGCATTTCCACAATCTCCTCTCCCCCACTCCCCCAGTGATCAGTCTGCTGCAGGCAGGAGGAAGCATTTCCTCAGTCTCCCCTCTCCCAGCGACCAGTCTGCTGCAGGCAGGAGGAAGCATTTCCTCAGTCTCCCCTCTCCCAGCGACCAGTCTGCTGCAGGCAGGAGGAAGCATTACCTCAGTCTCCTATCCCCCTGTGATCAGACTGTACAATGTAACTTTGAAGGGAGGCTGCATCAGGAGCTGATCTATGTCAGACATTTGTGAACACAGCCAAGAACTGCACAGTGACCAGGATTTACGTGTTCGTGTCATCTCTGAGCCAACATTTCAGTGCTAGTAGTAGATGGTGACCCTGAAAAAAAGATGGTGCTGTCCTTCTGTAGGGAAAAAGCAGTTGAAGTCATTGTCAGGGGGGAGTACTGAGATCTGTGTGAGAGGTTATAAATACCGGGAAGTGTTACACTGACACATTACTTAATCTGCCCATACAATTAAATATCTTCTTCATTCAACCTGTTGGCTGAACGAAGAAAATACCAGCGTTGATTGAGGAATCTCCGGCCGTCTTCGTTGTATTCGGACTGACAGAATACCCGGACAAAGCCGGACAGTTCTATTGGTTCAAAGATTTTCCAACCAGCTCCTTTGATCAGCTGATCGAGGGATGCCGGCTGAAACGGACGAAATTCCAATAGTGTATGGCCAGCTACAGCATGCACGCACTTAAAGCAGAACTTCAGCTTCACAAAGCCCCTCCTTTAAATTTATGAGTCTAAAGTCCACTGTCAGTGCAAAGCATGGACACCACGACTTTCCTGAGTAGAATAACGAGAGTCTGTAGTTCTGAGTATTTTGTAGGGTTATATTTTTGTGACATGCGGACGTTCTGTAATATCACTTCCTTTTCCTAACAGTGCATGGGTTGATGTTTGGGTGGGGAGGATACAGATAATGAGAAATCTGTAAAAGTCAGTCTACAGTCAAAAAGACTTCCTTGTAGAGTCAGAGGCTGAGCTGGCCCAGGTCAAAACATATAGAGATAAACATCAGCCATAGAATAATAAAGGATGACAACAAAACAATGGCATAATCAATCACCAGTAGTGAAGAGCCATAGTACCATATGTAAATACCTCTATACGCCCCGAGTCTGAATGGTAACCCACCGAGCATCATACTGATAAAGTCCTCCTTTTACCCCCCTTGTCCTGTGATCAGGGTTCGGATTGCCCACAAGGCCAACCAAGACCCGGCCTCCGGGCAGCAGGGAGTAGAGGGGCAGCAGGGGTGTGGAATTCCTATCTCCCGACGCCTGGGACATGCAGTTTGGGGAGCTGGGTGGGTAGTTGTTCTCTACATTTAGCCCTGCTTCGGGCAAGTAGGGCTAAATGTAGAGCAGGGAAGCAGCCGCTTGTTTTGTACAAGTGATCTCAGCGATGTCGCCGAGATTACTTGTATGCATCCTGCAGGTCTGTAGCGCCCCCGGGCTACCTCTCCAACATCCATTCTCTTCTCTGCTCCATGTGAACACGGAGACGGGAGAGCTGCACTTCCCATCTCAGCTGTCACAGGAAAAAAAAGTCATTAAAAAAAGTCATTAAAAAGTTTAAAAAAAATTAAATAAAACCAACCCTGCACCCCCCGCCATAAAAAAATAGAGCCCTGATTGGCTCAAGGTTCCGATCCATAGCTCTAAATGTTGTTTTGCAGTGGATTATAGGAGTCTCATATGCAGACATATTCAGGGTTCCTCCAGAGATTGCTAGGGGTTTCTTTGAGCTGTGGCTGATTGAAATCCCATTTGATGGCATAGCTCCTGGGGCCAACTCCACTTGGCATAGCCACCTGCATGATACGAATGATCTTTTTTTAGCTGTCTGTAAGGATGACATTCTCACCACCACTGTAAGGGGGGGGGGGGTTCTGACCATCATTGTAAAGGGGGGCATTCTGGCCACCACTGTAAGGGGGAATCCTTTTCATCGACCGCCAGTGTAAAGGGAATTTTCCCCATTGACCCCCAAAGAATAGTTGTAGTAGGCATTCCCTGAGATCTGAAAATTATATTAAGGGTTCCTTTAGGGAAAAAAAGAAGGATGAGAAGAGCTGGCAGTCAATGTGCTCCATAATATACAAAGAAAAACCCAACAGGGATAGTGGGTGCCCCTCAAAATGGCTATACTAGTGGTTCAGACCCAGAAACATACACTCACCGGCCACTTTTATTAGGTACACCTTGCCAGTACCGGGTTGGACCCCTTTTTGCCTTCAGAACTGCCTTAATTCTTCGTGGCATAGATTCAACAAGGTGCTGGAAACATTCCTCAGAGATTTTGGTCCATATTGACATGATAGCATCATGGGCCCAAAGTGTGCCAAGAAAATATCCCCGACACCATTACAGCACCACCACTAGTCAGGATGGATTCATGCTTTCATGTTGTTTACGCCAAATTCTGACCCAACCATCCGCATGTCGCAGCTGAAATCGAGACCCATCAGACCAGACAACGTTTTTCCAATCTTCTATTGTCCAATTTTGGTGAGCCTGTGCGAATTGTGGCCTCAGTTTCCTGTTCTTAGCTGACAGGAGCGGCACCGGTGTGGTCTTCTGCTGCTGTAGCCCATCTGATTCAAGGTTGGACATGTTGTGCGTTCAGAGACGGTATTCTGCATACCTCGGATGTAACGAGAGGTTATTTGAGTTACCGTTGCCTTTGTATCACCTCGAACCAGTCTGCCCATTCTTCTCTGACCTCTGACATCAACAAGGCATTTTCCTCCACACAACTGCCGATCACAGGACATTTTCTCTTTTTCAGACCATTCTCTGTAAACCCGAGGGATGGTTGTGTATGATAATCCCAGTAAATCAGCAGTTTTTGAAATAGTCAGACCAGCCCGTCTGGCACCAACAACCATGCCACGTACAAAGTCACTTAACTCCCCTTTCTTCCCCATTCTGATGCTCGGTTTGAACTTCAGCATGTTGTCTTCACCACGTCTAGATGCCTAAATGCATTGAGTAGCTGCCATACGATTGGCTGATTAGCAATTTGTGCTACCAAGCAATTGAACAGGTGTACCTACTAAAGTGGCCGGTGAGTGTATGTTCGATAGAATCCCCAACAGAAACTGCCAGCTTGTTTTTCCACCACCTACCACATGCGGAAATGTCAGCTTTAGGTAGGCTGACCTTTCATCTATATAAGTATTCTGTAGATTCCTTTTTTGGTCAGACGGTTAGTTATTTGTCTTTGAACATTGGACTACGTTCATAAATCTTACGGCGCTGCAGATCAGCTTCCGTAGCTGCACCTGGATCCCGATGCTAATGCTGCGCAAGCAACATCGTTTATAGGCGATTTCCCTTTCCTGTAAAAGCCTTTATGGCCCTTTAACTGGGCCCCAACGAACCCATCGCCAAGGCTGTATGTCACGCCAACATGATACAGGGAAAAGGGCTGGACAAAAACAAAAGTGATGTAATGGAAAATGTACTGAGGCAGATCAGCGGTCGAATTGGAAATATTTTAAAATGACCAAATACACTCAAGTACCTAGTTAAAATTCAAGAGGAGAAGGGGGGAGGGTGATGAGCCAGTCCTCAGCTGTGTGTACGATCTGAGCTTCCACTCTTAAAGCAAACTGTGTATTCTGTATGCATGAAAAACAAAAGGTTTGCTTTAATGCTCCCCTCCACCTCCCCAATAGCACATACCTACTTTTCCTTGCTATCTGCCATTCTGTTTGGCCAATGGAAACAGAAAGTACCTGGCACTTTCAAGTATGGAGAACCATGTGACTCACTCCCCTTCTTTGTGTGTGATACCCCTGGTAATTGACCCAGAGCTGTCACATGGGGGCAGGAAGTGAGTCCTTGATCATGTGTAAGTTCCAACTAGAGCAGCTCCGAGCTCTTCCTTTCCTGGTTTTGGTTGGCTGAATGGAGTGGCAGGCAAGCTAAGAGAAAATGACTCCTGTGGAGGGGGAGCATTAAAGTGAACCAGTAACTTTGTCAAGCAAAGGATAGCAATTTGGAATGCTATACAGCCAGTCCTGTGTTCCTGAAACCCCTGCCAGACAGCAATCACCAGGTCCCTTACTTGCACTGCAGTTAACCGGCACAGCTTGTTCAAGGACCCACCCCTAGCTTGCTGATTGGACAATGGAGGAGCAACAGAACACTGATAAGGTCATGCTTTTGCTCTCATTCCCAGTGCTGTGCAAAGCAATGGAGGATTCTATTATAACGACATGTTGTTTTAAAATAAATACCCAACTGTAGAAAATGGCGGTTGATTCCATTTGGTACTTTTTATTTTTCTGGCCTGGGGCTACTAGGGAAAGAGTATGGGTATCCTTCTGGATTGTTCTGAACCAGTGTTGGGTATTGTATGAATGTTGTTTGCCTGTATGTAAATGTGATATTCATTCCACAGGAAATGGCGTGCCGGGTGCACAAGTACCTAGTGAAGGAATACATTGCACAGATTATGAAGAGGAAGATGAGTCTTAATAAATTAAACAGGAAGAAAGCCGCTGAAAAAATGAAAGAGGACGGCAACTTATTCAATACGGTCGCTGAAGATATGGTAAGTCACCTCTGAATTTGCCAATAGGGAAATATTACTGTAATCCCATTGTATGATAACATGGTGGGGCCACTACATTCTTCAGCCCCTTTGTAAACCGTAGCATGACCCCCTATCCCTATATACTGTAGTTTACAGTACCCTGCAAACTCATGTCTAACCATTGCAGTAGAGTGGCTCTCACCAAGGGCCCATTCACACCAGATGCAGTGCGTTCCGGTCCGATTCTAGCCAGAACGCACTGGCTCGCATTGCGACCGACTCACTTATTTGTTGGGCTGGAGGGGGCATGGTGGGCCATTGAAGTGAATGGCACCGTAGCTACGCCCTCCGGCCGCACAGGATCGCAAGGCACATTATGCCTGCCATTCGGTGTGATCAAAATAGTGCTTGCAGTCGTCCGGTCCGATCAAAATAGTGCTTGCAGCATTTAGATCGCACGGGACCGGACCGCAGGCATAATGTGCCTTGCGATCCCGTGCGGCCGGAGGGCGTGGCTATGGTGCCATTCACTTCAATGGCCCCCCACACCCCCTCCTGCCCCACAAAAAAGTGAGCCGGCCGCAATGCGAGCCAGTGCGTTCTGGCTAGAATCAAGCCGGAACGCACTGGATCTGGTGTGAACGGGCCCTAAAAGCTACTGTATCTCTGGAACCACTCAGCTCTGCCAAATATCACCAGTAGACAATGCTGCACCATCATTGCAATCTTTAAAGTAGATCTAATCCCAACTACTAATACCTCATATAAGCGTTATCATGCTAATATAATTCCCAAAGTTTTAATTGTATTTTTAAATCTGCTGCTTTCATTAAATTAATATCTTGTTGTGTCACTTCCCATTATAGGGCAACAACCACACTATATGTCCAAACGTTTGTGGCTATCTGACCATCACACCTATATGAGTATTCTGGACAAAACCATTAATAAGGAGTCCCCGTCCCCCCTCCTACCCTTTGTGGTTATAACAACCTCCACTCTTCTGGGCAGAGTTTCCACAAGATTTTGGAATGCGTCTTGGGGAATCTGTTCCCATACAGCCAAACGAGCATTTGTGAGGTCAGCTACTGATGTTGGATGAGAACACCTGGCTCACAACTGGCATTCCAATTTATCCCAAAGTTTTTCAATAGGGATGAGGTCAGGGGTCTCCACCTGAGTTCCTCCAAACCAAACTCTACAAACCATGTCTTTATGGAGCTTGCCTTGTGCACAGCGGCTCAGCCAAGGTTTAAAGCATACAATTGTCTAAAATGTCTTTGTATGCCATAACATTAACAGTACCCTTCACTAGAAACACCTGAGATCAATAACATGGAGGGTTGTCCCCAATACCTTTGGCAACATAGTGTATTTCCCTGTGTTGTCAACCTGTCATAGCCTTCCCTGGTGGAGACTACAAGTGGCCCTGCTGATGCACATTAAGTAGGCATGTTTGCTGTTATCCCCCTTGAAAAATCCACTGTTAGAAATGGCATTTTGCCTATGCCGTAGCTTATGAAATGGCATTTTGCCTATTCAGAATGCATGGGAATGTAGACAGGAAGTGGCTGCATAGAGGCTGGAGGAGCACAGCCTTAGGCCTCATTCACATTGCGATAAGCCGAGGCATACATGTCTGTGTGGCGTGCACGCCCATATCGGGCTATTCCCGGGAGGGACAGGTGCTGCGTGTAGCAGCCTGTTCTTCCATATGGGAGGACACAGCCGTACACTGTCCTATGCACACCTGAACTGCACATTCGTGCGGGTCCGGGTGTCTGTACTCGGACACAAACAGGATGGAGGATAAAAGATAAAAACAGTATTTTATGAGAAAAATTGCATTGTCAAGGATCCCCAGGGCTTTAGCAAAGTAATGATAATTCACTTAGGGTTTACATCTAGTTTAGATGGTAAAGACTTTTCTGAAACTTAAAGCCAAGAAAAGCACTAAGGAGATATGAAAACATTTTGGAAATATGTTCCACAGTCCTGAATGTTTTGGGAATTCTTCCTGGCACTGCCCAAGGTAATCTTAAGAGTTGCAAGACCTCACGTGTCTGCCGTGTGCTGTGCCAGCTCATGGGAAATTTAGCAAAGGTTATTACTTAATACTTACTGCTATTTTTTGGCACGCACGGTCCTCTGATTTGTGTGTATTTTATGTTTGTTTAAAGGGATCGGACCGGCAAGGACTGTATGAAGTAATTTGTTGCATTTCTGAAATCATCGGATCAAAGAAAAAGGAGGAAATCAAACCTAAACTGGAAGAGTTGCATCATCTTTATCCTGATATCAGGTAGAATGGCACGGGGTTCTTTCACAGGCCTAAAGCAAGTGCTCCTTTATGCACAGGGGACGGGAAAAAGCTATTTTTACTAACCTGATCCCGCTCCCTCCAGGCTGCTAGACCATGAAGCCTCTGCTCCCCTTTGCTCTGGAGGAGGTAGCCCCACTGCATTGGTAGATTTTTGGTTTGCCCTCAGTTGGGCCTTTAAAGTATAACTCCAATATTGTAGAAACCCCCCCGCCCTGCTTGCACTAAACACCAAAGAGTCTGGATGTGCATTTGGCAGTTAGAGCATAAAGGAATGATTTGCATGGCCCCTCCCACTGTCTTAAAATGAAGAATAATCCTTATTTTTTTGGGGCATAAGTGATGGAATGAGACATGGGAATACCTTCTGTCCTAAGAAGGCTCTGATGAGCTTCCTACTCCATAAAGATCCTGAAAAGCAGGGGCGTCCCAGGCCAGGTGTCACCTGGAGTGGCTGCCGGGTGTCACCCGCCGGGACGTCACCCACCTGGATGTCGCAGCGCATGCGTGTGACGTCATTATGTAATAGAAGTCACCAGCACTCGATTCGTGCGAGAAGAATAAGCACTTTTTTTTAATTGAATTGTCACATGTATCATAAAGCCAACGTTTCGTGGCCACGCAGTGTCCCTTCTTCAGGGCGACATAGTGATGGTCACTATGTCGTCCTGAAGGGACCCTGCATGGCCCCAAAAACGTTGGCTTTATGACGCATGTGACAATTTAATTTAAAAAAAGTGCTTATTCTTCTTGCACTTATCATGGATTGCTGGTGACTTCTATTATGGACTGATTCGGACACTTCAAGCACCAAACTTCCGTGAAGATCTATATGCTGTATGGAGTGCATGTGACTTTTTGATATTGACATAATTACGCACGCGTGTAATGAGGTCACATGCACATAACTGCCAGCAGCCATCTCGGTAATGGGACGCCAGCAGAGATAGGTGTGAGTAATTTTGGTGTCACCCACTCTGATGGTGCCACCCGGTGGGGGCCACACCCCCCTTGTGCTGCTAAACTGTCCACTTTAAGGCCCCGTTCACACCAAGGCGGCATAGTTTTTGCGCATTTGTACATGCGGGACCAGTGTGCTTTTTTGCACGTTTATACCCGTTTGGCTCATATTTTGTGCTCGTGAAAATACGTGGGCACGAAGACGTGTGTTTTGACTGGCAGCCCAAGAAACATTGCGGTCAATGGAGGAACGTTCAATAACGCACAAGAAAATGTGCAACATGCTTCTGCCGCGCATTTCCTGGCGGTTTCATTGAAGTCTAAGAGGGAAAAACGAACTGTAAACTTCCCAAAAAAGCTCATGTACTATTTTTCTGCGTTTGGCGTTCTGCTGCTCAGGTGTGAAGGGGGGGCCATTGCAAATCATGGGATCTCTTGTGTTGGGCTGTTTGAAGTATTTTTCTCTTTGTGCTCCGAAACGGAGAAAAGCAGAATCGATGTAAAACTTCCCTACATGTTCTTTGTCTTCCAGCGACGAACACGTCTTGTGTATTTTACACGTTCAAGGAACCGGGCGCAGCAAGAAGCTTTTGGGACATTTCCATCAGCTGCAGAAGGATCATCAGCCTCCCAATGAGCCAGAGGAGAAACTGTTCTCAGAGATAGACTGCGTCACACAAGTGGCCTGCTTTTCTTTAAATCTCAGCGGCTAATTTTATAGCTCATCACCCGGTTCTGGAGAATCATCATCATTGTGCACCGCACCCAACTCAATTCTCCAACGGGAACTTTCACCTTTCAAGATGAGCATTTCATGAAAGTGCTTTGCATGAAGAGCGTACACAGAAACGCATGCAGACTGTTGCCCCTGCAGGATATGCAGATGATCAAGCTGTGAACTTTGACTTTAAAACATTTGTGATTCAAGACATAATACTGCCAGTGACTGAATATAAATATATTCTAGGGCAGAGCTATGAGGTCACATCTCTTATTCTGCCTCTGGTAATGAATACAAATAAATTGTCCAAATGTATTGAAGGCTAAGTCTGGGCATTTTTGTAAAATAATCCCTTAGCAGTGGTTATAAATGATATTTACCTCCTTTCTGGCACTGTCCGCATGCAGTCATTTGTTTCTGCCACTAGATGGCCTCGGTCTTCCGGGTTCATAAGCCCCCAGCATAGCTGAAACTGTAAGACTAAGGACATACTGTGAGTGCAGAGAGTCATGAGCTGCCCCCTGACTGGGAGTCACCAGGGGCGTCCCTACACTTGTCGCCGACTTTTTTTGGTGGCGCATGCTACCGGGGTGGGGATTTGCATGGTACCTCTGTCAAGCAACCTGCCCAACTCACTGACATAACTGGTTGTCAGGAGCTGGGTGGAAGGCCAACCAGAGCATCCCGCTCATCTCCTGCCAACCAGTGATGTCAATTAGCTGGGCAAGACCCCAGCCAGAGTGTCACAGGTTGCCAAGAGCCCCCACTTCAGGTTGCCTCCTTATAGGGACCCCCCTGGGTGTCACCATGGCAGTTTACAATGTAATGATGCAGTGGATTGGAAGAAGGCAGCAGGGGGGATACTGCAGGGGGGCTCCAGAGGGGAGCCAGGAGGGGAAAGACCAGAGTTGGGCTTTAAAGATGAACGCCAGGCTAACATCTACATTCACAGATGAAATACATATAAGGAAGCTGTTGTTTTGCCTGCCAAAAGATTTAACATCTGTCCATCCAGCCCTGAGTTTTACACAGCCGTGCTTCGCAGCTTAGCCAGGTAGACAGTAACGGGATGCTGTGATGTCCTCTCTCCACTCCCAGCCCTCTGACTGGACAGGGAAAGAGCAGCATCAGACTGATGAGGTCACATCTATGCACTTCTCTCTCCTATCAACATGTTCCTTGTCAACACATTTGCATGTCTTGGATGTCTTTCCCTCTCCCCATCTGAGCATTGCTGTAGAGGGACTGCAAGAGGCTCATACCAAGTCAAATCTAGGAACTTATACTCGCTGCATTTACAAAACATGAGGGAATGGTGGGAATGGTTTTATAAACAAAGATTACAGGTAGCTGCACAAAGGGCAGCTTAAAGAGACGCTCATTTAGGGCAACATGACAATATCTGCTGATAGCCCCCCAGCAAGTTACACTGGCCAATCTATGCTCTATTGCTGCGTCTGTGCTCTGCTAGACCCCCTGCAGTCTGGTGCTCTAACAGAGCCAGGCTTTTGGATATGGGGGAGGGTATCAGCCATGGGCAGGGTAAGGGATGTCATACATCGGACATAAGCCTTAGCCCGGTGGGCTCCTGCAGCGGAAAGGCATTAAGGGACCATGGGTCAGTGAGTATAGCCCGCTGGCAGAGGTGGGCTATCAGAAGACATTGTCTTGCTTGAATGGGCAAAGTGACAATGTCCCTTTAAAAATAAGCCTTGAAATAAGTAAAGGCCAACTCGGGTCGCTTGTCCCCCGCCAGCGACGGGAACCTGGGTTCTCCTGTTGCAGCTATTTAAAGAGGTAATGCGCGTGTCCTGCACATTGATATTGATGTTCCTATGAAGACTGAAAATGCAGTCTCCTGTTTCCCTAGGGGCACATATGGTTCAAGACCAGAATGGGATGAATGATTCATGGTTCAAGCACAGAATAGGACAGATACCATCTCCCTAGGAGGTTAGTATTCAGGTATTGGTTTGTATTTCGGATGCAGTCATTACCAAGGGCACAAGCAGATTTGTAGCAGGCCACATGACTGCTATGGGGCCCAGAAGCGAAGGGGTCCCCCAGAACCATCTAACTATAGTGATTTATGTAGGTAGCAATAGCATCACACATTTGGATGAATGGCCCTTTATAGGGCCCCATCATTAGCTTTACTGTACATGTCCGAGCATGCACTATTTTTGTAGATCATACTGGACTACTGTGCCACACGTTCGGGGGCGGGCAAATCGCACTGCATGTGGGGGAGGCGTGGCTGCAGTGCCATTGACTTCAATGCCCCCTCCTGCCCATGAACGCATGGAGCTGGCCGGGTTGAGGGTTCCGAAGACTCTGGAACGCTACATTAACATTAATGTCACCTGGTGGCGCTACATTAACCACCTGAACATTACCACTCAATAACACTTTGACCCGTCAGGCCGGCACCACAATTATCTCAGGGAACCTCTGGCTCCAACCTATTGAGCCCCACTATGGTTTCCAAAGATAATTCTGCTGCTCCTTCCGGCTGCAGGCAACACATTTTTATCACGATTTTTACCCAGAATATCATAACATGCAGCAGGGGCGTCCCGAGGCTGGGTGAAACCCGGAGCGGTAACCAAGTGTCACCCCGCCGAGACGTCACTGCGTAAGCGCGTGACGTCACCACGCGCGTGCACGATGACGTAATTGCGCACGCGCGGCAGTATTCTATTACCTGCCGGCCGTTGGGTGCCTGGTTTCGGGTTGCATACACGGGGTTACACAGCCAACCCAAAGGGAACACGCAACACCCCAAGAGTGAACCCCGCCTACACGCTGTCTTCACTCACAGCATACAGTTCAGATGAACTTCTTTCTGCAGAGACTTCAAAGTCTGCTCACAACATGTACTAAGTACACTGTCCCTTTAAATGTCAGTTCTTTGCATCCAAAACGACTTTTGCGAGAGTTAGCTCTGCTTGCCCGCCTGGTAGCCCACTTTTATTTAAACGAAAGTTCACACATCCACATCGGATACCCTCACAGGGGTTGTTCAGTACAACATCCATGCACTGCTTGTAAATTGACACTAGTTTAGCCTCCTGGCTTCTACTGCTAACATTAATACTGTAATTGTGACCCACAGGTCCTCTTTGTTGTGCTGTCCCGCACTTGTACTGGCAGTCTCTCGGCTAGGTTCCCATTTCCAAGCAGGAGCTCATATCCCTAGCCAGCCACCCTTTCCTTAAGGGTTGTGCACACCTGTGCAATCATTGGGTGCTGGTCACTGCTAAATCCTGGACCCAGGACTGGAGGTTTCCTCCCTCTTGAATCATTTTGAAACCTCCCATGGATCCCAAGCAAAATCTATGAAATCCCTTGCTTCCTGACTCCTCTCAGCCCTTCTTGCTGAGAGTCCTGGGTGATCATAAGGCCTCATTTACACTGGGTGTACACATGCACGCGCGTAAACAGCCGATCCCGGGAGAGACAGGTGCTGCGTGTCATAGCGCGCAGCAGCTTGTTCTTCCCTGTGGAAGGACGCGGCTGTACGGTGCCATACGAACACCTGAACTGCACATCCGTGGGTGTGCGGGTGTCCGCACTTGGACGCAGACAGCCGTACCCACATGGATGACAGCGTACTGCCGCGTCCTCCCATGGGGAAGAAAAGGCTGCCGCGCGCAATCACACACAGCACCTGTCCCTCCAGGGATCGGCTGTTTATGCGCGTGCACGCCCAGTGTAAATGAGGCCTTAGGGCCTGTTCACACAACGTCCGTTTTGTGTGCTGACCGGCTCCGTACGCTGCACTCAAAATGCATCCCAATGTATCCCTATGTGTTTTATGGGCTCCAGTTCTCACGTGCACAGTCCGTTCAGCTTACAACAGAAAAAATACTGCATGTCACATTTTGTCAGGTCCGGAAACGGTCCGGAAACGGGCCGGATACGCAAACGCGTCAAAAACGCCCAGGTAATCATCACAATTATGACAAATCACGGCTTGAACTATCTTGCTTTGCATGTAATGAGTCTATCTCATATATTAGTTTCACCTTTTAAGTTGCATTAGTGAAATAAATGAACTTTGCACGATATTCTAATTATTCGAGTTTCACCTGTATATATATAATTCATTCGTAATTATCTAACGCATCCAAAAATAGTGAAAATTTTGGATTAGTCCGAATCCGAATCTTGAAACTAACTGACTTTTGAACCCATATCCCAAAAAATTAAAAACGGAAAGATCCGAAATGCACGTCCACAGAAAACTGTTATGGATGGATGATATATGGTAGGAAAACTTTTTGAGTCTTAAGCTGGCCATACACTATGCGATATTTCGCCCGATGAGCTGACGGAAGAAGCAAGCCAGTAAGAAAATCTTTAAGCAAATCAGCTGCTGGCTCAGTTTATTGTATTGTGACAGTGGCCGGCGTCCGCCATCAGAATACAATGAAGACATCGGGAGATTCTTTGATCCACGCAGGATGAACAAAGAACATATTACAGTGTAGGGCCAGATTTACACCCAAATACACAGCAGTGGGCTAAGATCCATCCAAGCATGGGGTAAGATCCAACATTCTCAGGTTATTACCAGGGCTCTGTGGTTTTTAGGGGTTCCCAGAAGAGAATCTAAGCAAGAAATGTTCACCTCTCCACTAAGGTTCCATTAATGTGAATTGTAGGAAATTGTACATTCACTGCATGTGAGAATAGGGAAGTTTACTGCTTATTTATCCACGAACAGCAAAAAACAGAACTTCTTTGTGGTTGCTTTAATTGCCTAGAATAGAAGAAGTGTTGCGGCCATAGAACTAATTATTGAGTCATATTGTTTGTTTAAGACATTAGTGAAAATAATAAATTAAAACTAACTGAGAATAAAGTAGGTTCAGTGAGGTGATGCCACTCACCTACCTTGTTACAGCCTGACCCACTTGCCCCCTCCCCCCCCCAATATTCCATATGCCAATAAACGGGCCTTCAAAACATGTCCATAAGGCCTCAACA